AGTCTTGTTAATTTAGAAGTGGATGATCTTGCTTCTTAGCCTTAGTCTTAGTCTTAAAACTGTACTGAAACCTGCCCTTCATGAGTGACCCTGCTGATATAGGAAATACCAGTGGCATAGCTTTCAGCATGTGCTGTTGAGTATGACCCATAGCAAACCTATGAAGTATAGATCTGAACCCTGCCCTATCCTGTCCCATCCTCACACTTCCTGAAACATTAGAGCCCATTACATCAATCACTGTGTCAGTCCACAGTTGAGGGTCTTCCTCTCCTTTGTCGACCTTCTACCTTTCCAAGCATCATGTCCCTCTCCAAAAACTAGCACTTCCTAGCAACATGCTCGAAGTATGTAAGGCTAAGTATCATCATCCTTGCCTCCAAAGAGCACCCTGGCTGCACACTCTACAAGACATATTTGTTTGTTCTTTTGGTTTGTCCATAGGATGTTCAGTGCTCTTCTCCAACACCACAACTTAAAAGCATCAGTTCTTCTGTCATCCTTATTCATTATCCAGCTCTCAGATGTTTAGCAAGTGATCAGAAAGATCATGGCCTGAATCACAAGCGCCTCACTCCTCAAACTGACATCATTACTCCTCTCCTAAATAACTTGGAGAAGTCCCTAACTGAAGACTTTCCAAAACATCTCCTGATTTCCTGACTGCTGGTACCAAGGGTGCTAATTGTGGATCCAAGTAAGATGAAGATGTTGACAATTTCACTCTTTTCCGTATCCATCACAAAGCTGCCCATTAATCCAGTGGTAAGAATCTTTGTTTTCTTCCCATTGAGATTCAATCCATATTGATGGCTGCATTCTTTGAGCTTTGGCAACAAGTGCTTCAAGCCCTTCTCACTTACAGCTAGGAAGGTTGTGTTATCTGCATAGTGCAAGTTATTGATGAGTCTCCCTCTAATTCTGATGCCACATTCCTCTTCAAAAAAAGGCCAGCTTCTTGAGTAATTTTCTCACCTTACTGATTGAGTAGGTATGTTGAGAGAATACAACCCCCACACACCCCCTTCTTCATTTTTAACCCTTGCTCTGTTCGCACAGCAGCCTCCTGGTGTAGGTATAGGTTTTGCATGAGCACAATTAAATGCTCTGGGATTCTCATTCTTCTCAGTGTTAGCCATAACTTGTTATGATCCACACAGTTAAGTTCCTTTGCATCTGTTTCAATTAATAGATGCAGCCCTGGATGCACTCACAACTCTGCCAGGAAATTTGGAGGACAGTGGTCTGGCCAATGGATTGAAAGAGATCCACATTTGTCCCATTCCCAGTAAAGGGGATCCAACAGAATGTGGAAACTATTGAATAATATTACTATCACATGCAAGCCAAATACTACTGAAGATCATTCAAAAACAGAACAGTATATGGATCAGGAACTGCAAGCAAAAGTTCAAGCAGACTTTAGAAGAAGCTGTGGCATCAGGGATATCATTGGTAATGTCAAATGGATACTGGCTGAAAGTAAAGAATACCACCAGAATGTCTGTTTGTGCTGCATTCCATTGCAGCCCTAATTTAATTTAAGGGGAATGTTCCTGAGATGTAGACTCTAATACCTTTTATCTCACAAGAAATAAAAAAGGAGGAAATAGAGCTAAGAAGTAACCTCAGTATTTATCGAAGTATTGCCAGGGGTGGAGTTCCCCATTTTTGACTACTGGGGTCTCTGCATGAGGAAGCTCAGTGATGCCTGAAAAATCAGAACACATGGAGATCTCCAGAGAACACATGGCCTAGAGATTTTGACTGAGACAAGGACCTTTCTCCAGGATGAACACAAAGAGAGGGCCTTCCCCTAGAACGGACACTCTGAATTTGGATTTCTAACTTCTATAAGAGAATAAGCTTCTGTTTGTTAAGGCCATCATATTCTGGTACCTCTGTTAAAGCAGCACTAGATAATTTTTAAAAACTTCCTATACTGGTCTGGCCTAATTAACCTAACAAAGAAAGCTTTATTCCTCAAGGTGAATACATCTGCAGATATAGGGGTTAGAATTTACATTACATACTTTTGGGGAACACAAGTCAATCTATAACAGGAATCAGAAAGTATCGTTTTAAAACTAATGAAACAGAGGCTCAGAAAGGGTTGTGACCATCCAGCAGTGTCACTGACAGACAGTGAGCAATAGGGCTAGAGCTGTAATCCAGTTCTGATTCCGAGTCCAGTGTTCTTTCTGCTATATTAAGTTCTTTTCCTGCAATCTGAATTTTTCTGTTACCTTGGCAACAGTGTAAAACACTTGAGTGCCTGGAAACCATTATAATCTTTTCTCTGCCACAAAGTTGAAGGTTTAACTGAGGTCATTTTACCTACTGATTCTTCAGTTTAATTCACGTCTTCCTGTATTTCACTGTAATGTTTGGTAGGTCCAGTGTTCGTGTCACCAAAACCTCTTTGTGGTGATGGTCTTCCTGGTAGGTACACTACACAAGCTGCCTTTTTTTTTTTTTTAGAAAAAAAAAATTTAATGAACATTTATAGAGATTTTGGATTTCTACAAGCTGCCTTTTTTTTTAGCCGAAGTTCAGCCATTCTATTTATCCTAGTCCTGGTTACCTGAGAGGGAAGCCCAGGAAAGCATAATAACTTTTCACCTACTTAGGCTTCTCTTTCCATTTTTGACAGTGTTGCTTTTTCAGTTTCAACAGTTCCTGTAAGGTTTGAACAGTAGGTGAAAATAAAGGGCTTTTGCCTTTCTCTTGATTTGAAGCAATAAACTCTAAGACGGGTTCTTACAGAGGAGAGTCCTTAAGAGGGGGAACAATCATGTCTATGATGACTTATTTTTAATCCTGTTAGGAAGAGTCAGGTAATGCCCACTTGTATGATTCAGATCCTGAGAAAACTTTACATGCTTGATCATTTAAGATTTTGCCAGCAGGTGGCACTTCTCTCCTCCTCATTGACCAACTGCCATCTTTTTCCAAGAATAGAAACTTGGGTCCTCATTTGTTACTATTGAGTTCCTCATAAGCTCTGATGGCTCTAGTTTAAAACTCACGTGGTCAAGTTGATCCCAAAACAAGGCAACCCTATCAGTCAGAGTACAGTTGTCCCATAGTGTTTTCAGGGCTGTAACCTCACCAAAGCTATCACCCCTAAAAAAGCTTAGTGGGTTCAATGGCTAAAAAAAGCCAAGTGCTTGACCATTGTATTGCCAGACCCAAACACCTCACACCCAAATATCTCTCTTCAGTTTTCTCTTATAGCTGTTTAGCCTACAGTCTCCATTTATGCATTTTAATTAATTAAAACCCTCTTTCCACAAAGGATTTTACACATGAGGAAAAAAACCCCAAACACCTCAAAATTGCAATGAAGAATAAACAATTTTATTCAGGGTTGTGGGCCTTTGGAGCAAAACAACAACAAAAAACCCCACCCACCAGTTTCCTTATCAGGTATTTGAGTACATGAGGAAGGGAAGAAGGGAGAATGGCTTTCCTAGAATTGAAATTTTTTTGGGAAAGATAAGTTTCCACCTAGGGTTTTTGGAAGGAAGTTAAAATTATTCTTTCACATCTCTAACCTAATAATAGAATACTTTACAGGAGTGAAAAGGAGTTAACACCAACGTGCAGCCTCAGAACTATGCAATCAACATTTATTCACCTATAAGGTATAGCTTTTTAAGATGCCAGCTCATCCATCCAACCATCCATCTATCCATCCATCCTAGATAATTGGCACTGGGAACATGAGTATAACTCTTAGATTTTTTTTTTATTTAACCTCAGGTGTGCCCCAATAAATTTATAAAACCTTTCAGAGCAGGACAAGCCCTTGCACTGTTGTGAAGGCAGTGTTGGTGGGCTAAAGCTCCACATCCCTCGGGCCTGAACTCGAGGCAGAGGCCTTAGGGTCATCTGGGTGGGAACTGCTGCCTCCAGCAGGAGGCCCACCTTGGGCTGGTGCGATGGTGACAGGCAGACTCCATGGGGTGGCCCAATCACTGTTGACTTCCTCGCTATCATTAAAACACACTAAACTCCAGTATTCAAGACTGTGCTCACCACTAACTTTAGAATATCTCTTCACTACTTCAACCCTCCATTTTAAAATGATCTGTGTTCTTAGAATCTTTCATGTATAGCTTTACATTATTTCTTGAACAGAGAATCCTTTTTTAGCACAAAAGTTAACTACCATCTCGTTTATTGTATTTTCAGTGTCATTGCATTAATATTTATGATTCTGTATGTTGTTGTTTATAATTATATTTGTTCTTAAGAAGAAAACAAAAATAAATTAAAAAAATCTTTCAGAGAGCTTCTAACAGTTGTTGTTTGGTGCCATTGAGTCAAGTATGACTCACAGCGACCCTGTGAACCCTGTCCTGTCCAGTGCCATCCTCATCACCTCGGACACACTCAAACCCATTGCTGCAGTCACTGTAGAAACCCATCTCGTTGAGGGGTTTCCTCTCTTTTGCTGACCTTCCACCTTTCCAAGCATGATGTCCTCCTAATTGAAGAAATACGGCCATGACCAAAGTAGAGCCTTTAACAGACAATGTTACAACCAAGGGGTAAGCCTGAGATTGATCTTAAGAAGGTTTCAGGATTGTTTTGCTTATTGAAGAATACATCCTTAAACTCTGTCTCTCACAAGTTGTTGAAAATTAGTTTCCTAGCAAGATGAGGACCATGACTTTTGATACCAATACATTTTGAAAGGATTAACAAGCCTGCAGTAAGCAGGTAGGCGGAGGCTGGGTGAAGGGAGGGCGCAGAGCCACCACTTACTGGTGCCCCACGCTCAGGATGCGCAGAGGGCCAAGCACCACGTCCAGGTCCGCCGGGAACAGAAGGAGCAGAGTTGTACCGCCCATTGTTGTGTGAGGTTAGGACAAGGAATCGGTGGGTGGGGCACGGGGACTCCAGGGCAGCGCTTTGTGGCGTGCTTGGGTTCCACCGAAGGTGGGTGGAATCGGCGCCTAACCCGGAGTTCTTGCAGCCCCCGGCCCCCCCACATGCCGCCCGGCTTCCCCGCACGCGCCAACAGCCGCCTGGACACCTTCCTGAGGCGGCACTTGGCCCCGGAGATCTACGATGCCATCCGCGCCTATGAGCCCTGCGTTGTGGTCTCTGACTCAGAGAACCACACGTTCAAGTACGTGGTGCTCAGTGACCAGGTCATCTACTTGACCGAGAACCCACCCAGATCCATTCGCGGGGTCGTGGCACTGCAGGACGTCATGGCCATTGAACTGGTGAGGAGGGCGGGCTGGCGCGGGGACCCCCCTTTGTTAGGCTCCCCTTACCCATCCCTCAGAGAGAGGAAGAGGAGGAACTGCCAGATCTCATCCTGGACTCCCTCCGCTCTTAACAGGAATAGGGCACTCCAGATAAAGGGAACTTCCCACATTTACTTTCTCCCCTCCTCCTCCTCTGCTCTTCTTAGGGTTTGAATATAAACGAGAAGGGACCTCTTTGTGAGACAGAAAACCAAAGCCAGTGCAAAGAAATGCCCTGTGTTAAGTCTTGACAATGTCACATTTAGAGTTTTCTCAGCGGTGTCTGCAGCATATGAAATGCTTAGAATGAATAAGTGAAGGAAAGAATGCTGTAATGAGGTGTGCAGAGGATGCTTTGCAGTTTCAGGGAGGCTGCTTGATCCAGACTGGGTGGAAATCACCCTGGGAAATGTTCCTGGAAGGAGAGTCATCAGAATTGAGACTTGGAGATAGAATCGGGCACTTGCCACATCCAGTCCCAGTTACTGTATTACAGCTGTACCCTTTCCTCTGGGTGGAGATTTCCTGGTAACAGATTGGAAGCACGCTCATCTCCCATTCCTTTCATTTCTTACCCCCTCACCGTTAACTCCTTTGTCTGAGCTGCTCTCCAGGTGTGGTTTTCACTTTTCCACTGGGGACAGGTGTCTGGCCTAGTTTTTTCTTCCCTTGCAAGCCCCAGGGAGAGGTTGGCAAGACTCGGGATGGTGCTGTTTTGCCAGGAGGATCATAGGTTGTTGTGAACATATGCATAAGAAGCATCACAAAATTAAATTAAAGAGGTATTTGTTTACTTTGTAAAAGATTATTTTGATTCACTTTTTAAATTATAAGCTAGAAGACTCCCTTTTCCTTCAAGACTACTATTTCCATTCTCTTGAACTAAAATAAAATTTTAAAAAATTTTCTCTAGCAGATGTTTTAGGACAATTAATTACTCAGCTTTTTCTGTTTCTCAAGGGTAAATGTTTATTGTTTCACTATATATATATGGTTGTTGTTGGTATGTACCATTGAGTTACCTGTGTATAACAGCCCTAAACTCTGCCGTATCCTGTGCCAATCTCACCGTCTCCAACACACCTACCCCCATTACTCTAGTCACTGAATCAATCCATCTCATCGAGGGTCTTTCTCTCCTGCGCTGTTCCTCCACCCTCCTAAGCATGACGGCCCTCTCCAAGGACTGGTCCCTCCTTGCAACATGTCCAAAGTATGTCATATGAAGCTTCAGAATCCTTGCCTCCAAGGATCAGCCCAGCTTCACCCTCTCCAGGACAAACCTGTTCATTTTCTTAGCAGTCCATTCACACTCTTCTCCAGCACCACAGCTCAAAGGCATCAATTCTCCTTCTATCATCCCTAGTCATTGTCCAGCTCTCTGATGCATAGTAAGCGATTGCAAAGACCATGGCCTAGATCAGGAGCACCTTGTTACTCTCCCACAAGAGACAGAGTATGTATTTTGGAAGTTGTATTACACCTTTCTTTTTAAGTCATCAAACTCTGAAAAGTACAAGAAGGCTCCCTGAGGCCCCTGAACCAAGAAGCTTACAAGGAGGCAGCAATTCTCTGATCATGCTTTATGTGTAATGATTCATCATTTAGGCACAGAAAAGAATGTAGCATCTGTAAATATGCTTAACAAATCTTGGATTCTGCATTGTTGGAGATAGTGAATGCCCATATTTTAACAATTACAGTATAGCTTTGAAAGCTGCCCTAAGCAGAATGTCCCCCAGCGATGTCAATTCACAGGTCTAGAACCTGTGAATATGACACATTATGTGTTGTTGTTGTTTTTAGGTGTGTATGAGTACAACTCACAATGACCCTATGAACAAAAAATCTGAACCCTTTTCTGTCCTGTACCATCCTCACACTTAGGAACACGCAAGAGCCTATTACAGCAGTCACCATGTCAGTCCACCTGAGCATCTTCTCCTTTGCCTCCACCTTTCCCAGCATCATGTCCTTCTCCAAAGACTAGCCCTGTCTAGCAACACCCCCAAAGTGTGTGAGGTAAAGCCTCATCATTCTTGTGTCTAAAAAGCACTTCAGCTGCACCCTTTCTAAGACATATCTGTTCTTTAGACCATCCTTGAGATGTTCAGTTCTCTTCTCCAACACCACAGCTCAGAGGCATCAATTCTTCTTCTGTCATCCTTATTCATTGTCCAGCTCTCAGATGCATAGCAAGTAATTGGAAAGACTATGGCCTGAATCAAACACATGACCTTAGTCCTCAAACTGAAATCATTATTCCTCTCCTAATTAAGTTGGAAAAGTCCCTAACTGAAGACTTTCCCAGTGCAAAATGTCTCATTTCCTGACTACTGGTACTAAGGGTGTTAATTGTAGTTTCAAGCAAGATGAAGCTATTGACCATTTCAGTCTCCTCTCCATCCATCATGATGCTGCCTGTCGAACCTGCGATAAGAGTCTTTGGTGTTTTTTGGTTTGTGGTTTGTTTTTGGTTTGTTGTTTTGTTTTTTTTTTTTACATTGAGATGCAATCCATACTGAAGGCTGTATTCCTTGTTCTTCTACAACAAATGCTTCAAGTCCTCCTCACTTTCAGCTAACAAGGTTGTGTTATCTGCATAATGCAGGTTATTGATGAGTCTCCCTCCAATCCTGATGCAATATTCCTCTTCATAGAGTCCAGCTTCTCAGATAATTTGCTCATCATACAGACTGAATTGGTATGGAGATAAAATACAACTCTGACACACTCCCTTCTCAATTTTAAAACCATAAAGTGTTCCCCTGCTCTATTTGCCCAACAGCCTCCTAATGTAGGTATAAGTTTTTGTGTGAGCACAATTAAGTGCTCTGGTATTACTGTTCTTATCAATGTCAGCCACAGCTTGTCATGATCCATACAGTCAAACATCTCTGCATAGTCAATAAAGCACAAATAGACATTCTTCTGGTATTCCTTACTTTCAGCTAGGATCCATCTGACATTAGCAATGATATCCCTGGTGTCATGGCCTCTTCTAAATGCTGCTTGAATTTCTAGGAGTTCCCTATCTGTATACTATTCTAGCTGTTTTTTAAATGATTTTCAACAGCATTTTGTGATATTAACAATAGTGTTTGATAGTTTCCGCATTCATTTGGTTCACTTTCTTGGGAATGGGAACAAATACAGACCTCTTCCAATCCGTTGGCCAGACAGCTGTCCTCCAAATTTCCTGCCATAGAACATTCAGGGCATCCAAAGTTGAAACTGTTAATTGAAAGAAGTCAGTTGGTATCCCATTGATTCCTGAGGCCTTTTTTTTTGCCAATGCCTTCAATGCATTTTCTACTTCCTCCATTGTTACCATTGGCTCCTGTTCATATGGTACTTCTTGAAATGTTTCAGTGTCAATCAGTTCTTTCTCATACAGTGATTCTGTGTATTCCCTCCTTTTTTTTCTCTAATAAGACTTTATTTTTTTATTTTTACAGCATATTTTCCCATTTACTTTTTTCCTCATTCATTGTCGCACTTTTCCTTCCTGCCCACCTCTCACCCCCAATTTGCTTTTCTCTTTGAAAACAAAACATTCTTTCATTGTTATGCAATCCCCTGCCCCACCAAGATGACAGGCCACTTTACTATGCATTTCTTTTTCTGGAATCATCATCATAAAAATAATACCTAACCATATATTTAAACAGATCTCTCCCTCATCTGTTTCAATGCAGTGTACATTATTTATCCTCTGTTTTCTTAGGTTCCCCCAAGGTCAGTCCCATTTTACAAGTGACACTGTGCAGTATTTGTCCTTTTGTGCTGAGATAGTTCACTCAGCATAATGTCCTTCAGGGTCACCCATTTTGTATAATATTTCATTAAATCCTTGTTTTTCAATGCAGCGTAGTATTCCATTGTGTGAATATACCAGAGCTTCTTTATCCATTCACTTATTGATGGGCACGTGGATTGTTTCCAATTCTTTGCTATTGTGAACAAAGTAGCACTAAACATGGGTATGCATATATCTACTTGGGTGGCAGTTCTGGCTTCAGGGATATGTTTGCTTGATAAAATTAGTCTGGGAGAATTCTATGTTTTTCTATTTTCTGAAATAGGTTATGTAGAATTGGTGACAGTTCTCCGAATGTTTGATAAAATTCACTTGTAAAGCCAACTGGTCCAGGGATTTATTTATTTGGGTCTGTTCAGGCTTCTATTTCAGTTTGTATCACTTTAGGTAGCTTGTGAATTTCTAAGTATTTGTGCATTTCCTCTAGGTTTTCATATTTGAGAATAGTTTTTCACAATATTCCAGTGTTAGCCTTTTTATTAATTTCTCTTGTTATTAATTTCTAATTTTGTAGCATTGTGGTCTGAGAAGATGCTTTGGATTATTTCTGTTTTTTAATTTATTGATGCTAGCCTTGTGACCTAAAATGTTATCTGTTCAGGAGAACATTCCATGCACATTGGAGAAGAAGGTATACTGTGCTTTTTTTGGGTGCATTAGTCTATAAATATCTATGAGATCAAGTTGGTTTATTGTGTGGTTTGATTCTTAAGCATTTTTGTTGAGTTTCTTTCTGGTAGTCCTTTCTTTTCTTGAGAGTGGTGTACTGAAGCCTCCCGACTACCATAGTAGTATTGTCTACTTCCTTTTTCAGTTTTGTAATGTTTGTTTTATATATTTTGCAGGTCTTTCATTTGGTGCATAGATATTTATTATTTATATGTCTTCTTGTTCTATTGACCCTTTAAGCATTATGTAGTGACCCTCCTTGTCCTTTGTGATGGTTTTTTAATTGAAATTTATTTAATCAGAGATTAATATCGCTATTCCTGCTTTTTTTCTGGTTGCCATTTGCTTGGGATATTTTTCCAACCCTTTTATTTTTAGACTTTGTCTTTATTTTTTGGATGTGTGTCTTGTAGACAGCATATTGATGGATTTTTAGTTTTTATCCAGTCTGCTACTGTTTTTCTCTTCAGTGGTGCACTTAAACCAT